AATAAATTATAAGTTAAGCACTTCATTTATTAATATAAATTTATTTTGTTTTAAAACAAACAATTTAGATAAAGCTACAACGAGAGGCTGCTGAAATGCATGATGATTTTCTCATTGTTAGTTTCTTTAGGTTTCTCACTTTTATCGGGCATGGCGGCCACTTGGGGGCATATGCGAACAACCCACCAGCAACTCGATTGCACCCGGTTTTGCCGGGCCCCAGCAACGGGACAACGAAAGCAACACACTATATTAATTGTTCGGAATGGACAGGAAATACATCCATACAGCGCATCAACCGCCTTCGGTCAGCCAGTTGCGGCGCGATAGGCCGCGATCATGCCAACCGATAACGCACCAGCACCATTCCACAGAGGGCGCCATTACCGACCATTGGCACGACACACCGGCCTCACCGCCCGTACATTACAACCGTGACACACGTCGGGGCGAAACCGTGCGAAAATCCAACCCCAAAGGATAGGCAGAGCTTGGTTCCGCGAATGGTTTCCCCTTGAAGGCCGCCGGTTCATAGGGCGCAAGCAACGGCCCCAGAACGGCCATCAAAACCATCACCACGGTCACCGCAATGCCAATCTGGGTTCGGCGCAGGCGCAGCGCATCGGTTAGGGTTTGCATCGCCGCCGAGCGCGGTTTGTGCGCATTGCCTTGTCGGGCAGAGGTTGTATCCGTCATGGTCACGTCCTCAACCGCGGGGTCACAAGAATTGTCAAAACATCGGCCACAAGGTTGAACAGGATGTATCCGGCGGAAAATATCATGACGATGGCCTGTATGACGTTGATATCGCGTTGCTCGACCGACTTTTGCAGGGCACTGCCAAGGCCCGGATATTGAAAAATGAACTCGACGACCACAGCCCCGCCCAGAATGAATGCAAGGCTCAGCGCGCTGGCCTGTATAACGGGGACAAGGCTGTTGCGTAGGGCATGGCGCAGGATGATTTGCCGTTCCGGCACCCCCTTCAGGCGGGCAATGACGACATATTCCGATGCCAGCGCCTCCATCATGGATCCACGCACCAAACGTGCCAGATAGGGTATGATCGCGAGGATCAATGTCCCTGCGGGCAGAACCAGAACCTGCGGATTTTGCAAAATCGTCTGACCGGCGGGCAGTAATGTCGTGGGGGGCAGAATGTGGAAAACCTGCGTGGCGAACACTAAAATCAACAAGATCGCAAAGACGAATTCGGGCACGCCCGCCATGATGATCAACGCTGCGTTTGCAACCGTATCAAACCCCCACCGGCAAACAAACCGCCATCACACCCCCGATGGCAAAGACAGCGGACGGCGATCACCGCCGTAACTGCTAGCAGCAAAGAGGTATTGGCAATGCGGGGGGCAAGCAGGTTCAGAACATCGTCCTTGGTGATGAACGACGTGCCCAAATCGAAATGCCCCAGATCCCACAGCCATGTCAGGAGCTGGATCGGCAAAGGGCGATCCAACCCCAGTTGCGCGCGTAGCGCGGCAAGGGCCTCTGGTGTTGCGGAACGACCCAAAATCACACGGGCCGCATCACCGGGCAGGACGTTGGTGGCCACGAAAACCACCAATGCAACGACAATCAGGGTGCAGAACCCAAGTATGGCCCGAAGACCGACAAGCCGCCAAGGCATTGTGTGATCTCCTGCTTCATGCCTGCGGGGGCGACATTGGCGGGCAAAGACCGAACGATCCCCGCGCCGGTGGTAATCGTGGGTCGGCAAGCCCCGCTGACGCCCGCGCGGGTTATGCCAAGCTCTGCGGGGTAGACGGCAATTATCCATGCGCCGTGGTCGAACAGGATTTCCTGCATCTGGTGCATGATGTCTTTGACCTTGCCTGCATCGGTCGTGCTGGATGCCGCGTTCCACAGATCAAAATAATCCTGATCGCGCCATTTGATCTGGTCCAGACCGGCATGTGGGGCATCAATCAGGGACGATTGCAGGAAATAAGGCCCGGACGGATAATAATCCCCACCAAAGAACGGCCGTTGGAAATATTCTTCACCGTAGAAAGTGGCACCATCCAACTGTTTGACGTCGATAGTGATGCCGATCTCTTTGGCGTTTTCCGCCAGAACAAGCGCTGTGCCGACATCGGCATACTTGGAGCCAAAGTGGTGCCCGTCAGCCCGGCCTCTTCGATCAGGCGCTTGGCTTCGTCCACGTTGCGTTCCCGTACCAGATCGGATGCAAAATTCGGATCATAACGTCCATAAAGGTCGTTCCCAATCTCGGCATAGCCGTTGTAAACGGAATAAAGCACCGCTTCGCGATCCAGGACCAGTTGCAGGGCCTTGCGCAGCCGCGGATCCGAAAAGGGTGCAACGTCCGTGCGCATTTGGATGGGCATCATCTTGCCCGCAGGCGATTGGTAAACGGCCAAGGTTGGATCGTCCTTCACCTCGTCGATGACGGCAGGATCAATGCCGCGTACCACGTCCACTTGGCCGGATTTCAGGGCATTGACCATGGCGGACTGGTCTTGGAAAAAACTGACGCGGATGGTGTCCGTCTTGGCGGGGGTGCCGTGATAGTCGTCAAAACGGGTCAAGGTCGCACTTTGCGATGCGGTGATATCGGCAATTTTGTATGGCCCCGTGCCGATAGGCTTGCTGGGATCGAAATCGGCAGGCACCATTGAGGAAAACGGATCCGAAAGCCCCGTCGGGAACCAACTGCGGGGGGCTGACAACGTGACACGGACGGTATTCGGGTCAATCGCCTCGAATTTTTCGACAGGGCCGATGTGCCTCCCCTGATTGGGTTCCCGGCGCGCCGATTGCCTTTAACGAGGCGATCACATCTGCCGAGGTCATTACTCGTCCGTCGTGAAACTTCACACCGGGTTTCAGTTTGATTACCCAGATTGTTCCGCTTTCGTCTTCTGGTTCGATGCTCTGTGCCAGAACCAGTTCCAAACCGCCGTCGTTGGTTTGTCTGGTCAGGGATTCAAAAACGACGAAGTTGTTGGTGGCATCTACCAGAACATCTCCTGTCGAGTAATGCGGGTTCAGATTGCCGAATGCCCCATCCCCCAACATGCCGAAATTCAACACTTGTGATGATTGCGACATGGCCCTGTGCGGCAATAGCGGCAAGCTGGCCAACGCCGCCCCCGCCCCAAGCACGAAACGGCGACTGATAAAAGATGCGGGAGTGCCGGTTTTCATACCCATATGTCTCTCCTGTGGGGTGTGGCCGGGTCATGCCGTTCGGGCTGGCGGCCTTTTTATGTTTAGGAAGTCTCACTGCGGACGGGGCGTGCCGCCATACCCTTGTTAGGTGAGTGTGCGCACCAGGTGTGCGTGGAACCGTGGCGCGGGCAGTTGGTCCACGCCAAGAAACCCCGCAGGGGCGGCCATGACATCGGGAATGCGATTGAGCATCGACGCAACGGTAATGGCGTCGCCTTTGAAATCATCCGTGCGCAGCCGCATGGCAGGCACCCCTTCAACACACCATTCGTTGTAAATGCCTTCGTCGGGGCGCATGAAACACATGATGAAGCGTCCCTCGATCACCGTTCCCGTATCCAGTTGAAAGCGGACGACCTCGGCGATGCCACGCGTGGTGTTTTCGGCAATCACGCCACCCGTCAGGGGGTTGGGCATGGCTTTGTCCGCCAAGACGGGTTCGGCCGTGACCTCGGTCTGGACGATCTTCATGCCCAGCCCACGGATCAGCGGTCGCAAGGCAACCTCGAAAATTCCGCGATGGCCGGAAAAGGTTTGGTTCATGCCCCGCAGCAATATTCCTGTGCTGTCAAGGCCGATTTGGGGGTGGTGTGCCGCCCGGTGCGGTGCCAAACTGGCCTAGATCACAGATGTTTGGTGCCCGTTAGCCTGTCCAATCCGCTGCCGACCCTGTAAAATGCCAACGGTTGCCATACCACCAAAGGTATCTTGCACCCCCAGCTTGCGCAGCGTTTTTTTTTTCTCCGGCATCCAGAAACGCCCTTCCTCCAATGCACGACATAGCCGGCAGGGCATCATCGTCATAAAAGGGCTCGAATGCGTCTTCGGCAATGACCACTGCGTTCAGACCGGCGGCTGCCGCGCGCATTGCCGGACCGTAAAGGTCTTTGATTGTTGAACAACTGGTGATCAAAATCACATCCGCATCATGCACCTCGAACGGGACATCGGGTTGGCAAATCCGGGTATCGGCCAGCTCCGGTGCGGAAAAAATCCTTCCCTTCGATGGTGGCCGACCATAAAGGCTGCCACGGTTGATCGGCGCCGTCGTTCGGCAGAATAGCGCGCGGCCATACTGCCCATTGGGTCCAAAGGCCGTAACGTACCCGAAGCGGGGTCTGTTTCATTGCTGGTTCTCCCGGAAGGTGGTGGCCCCTTTCGTGGAGCCTTTTGATTTGGGAGCTATGATGACGACAGGGGCATGGTGGGTTGAATACCCTTGGGGTGTGACGCCGCCGTCACCCACAGGGGGTATTATTGTCCACGACTTCCGCCGCTAGCCTTTGTCCCAACAACAAGGTGACTTCAGGGAGTCCTCTATGATCGCAACAGACAAGCCGGACATTGAAACGGTGTTGCAACGCGTAATCGCAATGCGCCCCCGTTTGCGCGCGCTGCAGGCCGAAACCGAAGAACGCACATGTCCGTCCAAGGAAACCTACGAAGCCTTCAAAGACGCGGGGCTGTTCCCAGTGAATGAACCGTACGGTTTGGCGGGTTTTCGGCATGTCGTTTAAAGGATTTCTAACCGCATCGTGATAGAGGTTGCGCGTGGCTGCCCCTAACCGGGTGGTTGTACGCTCCTCGGTGCGGCAACATACCGTAACAGATGCTGTTCCTAATTGCGAGGCCGAAAACCCAAAGGAAAGAGGTTTCGTTTGATCCCGAGTTTCAGCGGTCCTTGGACCTTCAGCTGCCCAAGGGGGCCAACTGTGAAAAAGTGGACGGTGGCCTACAGGGTCAGCGGAACGTGGCATTTCGCCTCTTGGCGTACGCACAGAAGTTTCATGATGGCGGGAATACCGGGATCGGAGAACGGCAAATATTCGCGTGGCGACGCAATGACGGTTCTGGTGCCGCGCGGGTCATTTGAAATCATCGACAACTGGGGCGACATCATCGGCATGCGTGGGTCGGGGTCCAATTCCGTGCGGATAACGGATGTTTTCGTGCCCGACGACATGGTGTTTTTCCATACGATTGGCGCAATGGTTGACGGTCCCACACCGGGGTCTGTCCTGCACGGCGATGCGTTCTTTGGCGGGGCGTTTGGCGGTTTTGCCGAAGGCGGGTTGCGGCCGGTGGCGTTGGAAACCGGGGTTTTTGCAGCGCTGGATGAATACGAAGAGCTGCTGCGAACCAAGAAATCCGTCCACAAAGACGGGATACCGCGCCTTGATGATCCCGAGTTCCTGCGCAAATACGGTATGGCGCTTGCCTCGTTGCAGGTGGCGCGCGGGGCCGTATTGAACGGGGCGGAAACCTATCTGAGCCACTGTGAACTGTCGGTTTCCGGCCAGCAACCGTTTGATGGCACCAAATGTGCCGTGATGGATGGTGCCTATCATGCGTGCGAAAATATCGTTTTCGATGTGATCGACAGTTTGGCCCGCGCGGCATCCTCTACCGCGTTTCGTCAAGGGCAGCGGATGCAACGCTATTACCGGGACATTCTGACCTTAACCAGCCGCGCGGATTTCTTTGAATTTCGTGCTGCCGATGTTGCCCGAACGATCTTGGCGCAGAATGCCGCGTCTTCTGAATGCGCCGTGTGAAGGAGCATGGATATGAAAGATAACGCTATTACCATGACCGATTTTTCCCTGAACAAGGCCGCTGCGGGTGCGGACGGTTATAAATCCGCTGCCGACATTTTGGCCGCTGTTGAAAAACTGGGCCCGTTGATCGCGCAAGAAGCCGATGAAGTGGACCGTTTGCGGCATCTTACGCCCCGGCTTTTGGCGGCGTTGAAGGACGCGGGCGTGTTTCGCATTGCATGGCCCGCCGCGTGGGGTGGACCAGAGATGCGGTTCGAGGATCAGATCCGTTTGGTCGAGATGCTCTCGTATCACGACGCCTCTGTTGCGTGGAACGTCCAAATCCTGTCCGATACGGGTTTTTACGGTGGCCAGTTCCCCGAAGATGTCGCCCGCACCCTGTACACTTCTATGGATAATGCGACGGCGGGTGGGTTCTATCCACCGCAACGTGCGGACAAGGTGCCCGGCGGGTGGCATATCAAAAAGGCGCGCTGGCCGTTCGGATCGGGCATTCACAGCGCGGATGTGATTGTGGGTGGTGTGCAGTTGTTTGAAAACGGTACGCCGATCCTGGACGAAACCGGCGCGCCAGAGTTTCGTGTGGCCTATCTGCCCAAAGAGAAAGTCTCCCTTTTGGACACGTGGCATGTGCATGGGCTGCACGGTTCCGGCAGCACGGATTACATGATCGAGGATGTGACCATTCCCGATGCGAAGGTGTTCAAGTATTTCGATGGACAGGCCAGTCACCTTCCCCCGTTGTCGCGTTATGCGGATCTGATTGCCCAATCCTTGCAAGGCGTTGTACTGGGTCTGGGCCGTCGCATTCTGGATGACGTGAAAACCTGCTTGCAACGCAAATCTCCCAATGATCGCCTGATCCGCAGCCAATATGCCGAGGCCGAGATGAATTATCGTGCCGCCCGCGCCTATAGCATGGGGACCGCGACAATGCTGAGCGATAGGTTGCTGTCGGGCGGGATGCTGGATGACAGCGAATATATGAATGCCACGTTGGCATCGGTGAATGCGGGACATCAAATCCACAAGGCGTGTACAATGGCGTTGGAATTGGTTGGTGCCTATACGATTTACGAGGCATCTGGTTTCGTGCGTCGTCGCCGCGATCTGGATGCGTTGTTGGTACATATCAGCCATCAACGCAAAGCCTTACAAAACCCGGGTGCCAAGCTGCTTGGCGAAACGGACCTTGTGCGTCTTGCGTGATCCGATCTGTCGGGCGCGCCACCGCGCTCGCCTATCCTTAAAAATGAAA